GGAATAGAACCCAAGGAGCCGATCACTTCATGCTCTCCTGCCATGATTGGGTAATTAATAAGTTTCTCGAATTCTTTTGGCTCTTTTTATCACTCACTTTGGTTTTTCCTGTGAGCAGAAACTCTAAACTCCACTCTATATATATTGCAGGGACCGCATGCCTCAAGGGGCAATCCATTTCTTTACAACACATCAATAAGGGTCTTGTGCAATGCCAACTCCTCAGAGGGATTCAACCCAAGAAAAGATGTCAGCCTGCCTGAAATTCAACTTTATGATGGTGATGTGTCGCGCAAAATCCGGAACCCTCCACCAGCCAACAGATCAAGACCCTATCTGGCCTTCTTTGCCGGTGGATTGCATGGTCCAATCCGGCCCACTCTTGTCCAGCACTGGAAGGGCCGGGACGCCGCCATCCCTGTCTATGAATATCTGCCTAAAGGTCTAGATTACTACACCTTCATGCTGAAATCAAAGTTTTGCCTGTGCCCTAGCGGGCATGAAGTCGCCAGCCCTAGAATCGTTGAGGCCATTTATGCTGAATGCATCCCTGTGATCCTCTCGAAGCATTATGTTTTGCCATTTAGCGATGTGTTAAGATGGGAAGCTTTCTCCATAAAGGTTGAGATATCTGAGATCCCTCGACTGAAGGAGATTTTGATGGCTATTCCGGACGATGAGTACAGGAGGCTTAAAGAGGGGTTGAGAGCTGTGAGGAGACATTTTGTATTGAACCACCCAGCTCAGAGGTTTGATATGTTTCATATGATACTGCATTCTGTATGGCTTAGGCGCTTAAATTTTAGGCTTGCTCAGAAGCTATAGACAATGTACAGAGACAAACATATATAAAGGTTTTTTTTTTTTTTATATTATGTACCGTGGATTCGAATCAGTCAATATCGGCCGAGTTAGAGCGAGTACCGATTCCCTCCGTCCAATTACGATTCGACCGATACGTATCGATATCGGCTGATATGGCGAACCATGCTTGCACCCGTCCCTTTAATTACCTTCCTTTCATATTTACAGTCATTTATATATATATATATATATACATGTGACAAATGATAATGTACACCAGGGCATTACTTAATTACTAGTATTTACATATCCTCATCATCCTCCTATATATCATATATGGTCTATGAGAAGTTATGAACTGGCTGACCCATTATGTGTACATTTTATCCGATGGCGATGTTGTGGGATAAACGCTCAACGTGAGACCTCAGAATGTCCCCAACAGAGAACCGAGGCCTTCCATTTCCACTTCCATTTCCATTTCCATTTCCAGGTGAGGTTCGCCTGATAATTGGTGTTTCATTTTTGACATCAAGATCTATTGGTCCCATCTCTCTCTTCATTGTTTTAATAAACTCCATATCGACGTCGTTGCCTGACATATCCCTCACATAGAAGGCATTTACCGCATTCTCGCCCTGTGTTGCTATATCTGCCCTGACTACAGCTAGGCCATTCTCCCGAAGAACCCGAGTTATGTCAGAAAGAAGTCCTACCCTATTAGTTGCACGTAACTCTAATCGAATACCCTGTTTCAATAGAAATTTCATCAAAATTCAAGACATACTGGTATCCCATTTATTATATGATGAATCATAAGGGACAGATGTTGCAAAAGAAGGAAGGATTTCTGGTACGTACCTCACAAACCCTACGCTCTATGGCGGCCTCCAAGCATTTTATGACTCTTTCCTTTTCGCCCTCTGTATTCAAGGCACAGCCATCAACGTGCCTTATGAAATACTCCTACAGGTTGATTGATGGGCAGACTTAGATTGATGGGCACATATGAACGAATGCTGTGAAGAAACTAGTAGCTAGCTAGGTAGTAGTATTAGGCAAGGCAGATTTGCTCATGAGCGGGTTTCACTTAAAACGTACCTGAAATGCATAACCTTCATCAGAATCAACGGAAGCATGGAAGATGACGTATTGCAGGTCGGTAAGAGTGCAAACAGTATCAAACATGAGCCTTCTCCGATCCTTACAACTCACTGTGACTATTGAATATCCCTTCTCATCACAGCTCTCAATCCGCACCTGGCATTCTTTCTTCTCCCGCTCCTCCTCATCATCGTGGCCACCAAGTGGAATATTCGCCGTGGACCTCGGCCACGAGCTCGACGGCCCTGAAGCTGAAGGAGGCCCGTCAAAGTCGCGAACGGAGAGCATGAGCTGATGCAACCGGCGTTCCACATCAGTCATGGTGCCTTCCCAGCGGCCATGATCGGGAAGGCCAGCAAAATGTTTCACCTCTTGTTGGTTGGTGCAGACGTCATCTCCGGTGTTTTGAGACGTGGTGGCTCTGAGGACCGTGGTAAGGTGGTCTTCGATGGTGGCGAGGCGGTGGTCATCAATCGGAGAGGATGTGGATTGGTCGGAGATGTAGGCAACGCATGCTAAGCGAGCATTGTGGCTCCATGCATGTGCTTCCACCACATTAATATGAAGATCGGCCAAGGCGGCAGAAATTTCAGAGAAAAGGCCAGGCCTGTCTTTTCCCCTCATCTCTATTGCTGTGGGTTCATGAGCAGATGTCTTGGACTCTAAGAACTTGGTATTTCTGGCCCTTGCTTTTACCATGGCCTCCTTATTTGCTCCAATGGCCTGCAGTACCATTTCCTTAATTTGTTAGTCCATGTATGTACCTGAACCAGTAATGAGCAGGCTTGCTAGCATTAGACTGCATGTTCAACAGCAATTACTTTTAACGCATTATTTATTGAACACCTTAAAGGGCTTTCATGCCCACTTTACAAATTGCCTAGTTTACGGATTTACCATATAATAGTAAACTTAAAGAATATTTTTTGATGGGGCAACTTAATGAGTTTACCACACTTCTCCCAAATGCATACATGCATTTTGGGGAGAAATTAATTACCTTCTATAAAAAAAATTTTGGAGGGAGTGAAAATTTCTGGGAGAGAATTGAAGGATTTACCTTCTGTATATAGTTGATAACATTCTGATCAGTAACTTTGTTCCCACTTCCATCTTTAACATGAAAAACTGCAAAATATCCAAAGAGTACCAAGTGAAGGAGGGAGGTAAGTTTTAATGAGTAGGAATATTCTCCAGCTGCAGGTTGGGGGCAAATTGTCATGTACTTGTACAAATCTATTAAATATGTCAATTGTAATATCATTTTCAAAGAGAAAATTCAATCAGGATGGTTTAAGGATTACCGTCCATGAACCATCCAGCATCAGAGGAAATGTAGCTCTTCAATATGGTGAGGTTCATATCAGTAAGCGCCTGCACCACCTCCAGAAGTAGGCCCTGCTTGTTTACGCTATCGATCTGCCAAGTAATAATGTGCATGTCAGTATTGTATGATTTACCATTCATCGCTAATACTTTCTCTTTCTCCTTCCCTAATTAATCAGTCAGGATTGCCACTTGTGGCCTCCCTAACACTCTTACCTTTAAAACGGTGCACTCGTCTGAGCTTTCATTGTCAATTGTAACTCTGCATCTGTAAGGGAAAAAAAAAAGGAAAAGAAAATAAAGAAATTCCACTATCACTTGATATGTAGCTCCAATCTAAAGAAATAGTCAAATGATCGAGCGTTGCTAGACATCATTTCAATTGCTCCAAGACACATGCATAACATCAGATGCGTCTCCTTGATGTTAAAATTTGACCCAGATTTTGCTTCAGAACAGAAATGCAATGTAAAATATCAGACGTGCATGATGACTTACACAGGGCCGTAAACTCTTTCTGAAAGGCCATCAAAATCGGGGTCAAAGTAAGGCCAACTAGCTGTATTCATGCCGCAACCTACACACATTTAAGGCAGCAGACAAAAGAGGTGAAAATGGATCGGAGTTAACCGTGAAAAATGCAAAAGAATCACATCATTCATTCATGAACAAATGCATCGAATAATGCAGCTATTGCTGAATCAAATCTATCTGCATTCCCATTTTGCGGCAATAGTCAATGAATGAATGATTCTGAGTAGTGAATAAGTGAAAAAGAAAGATCAGCTAATTAATTACCTGGAAACGGTTTTTGGTAGATGCAATGTGTTGCAAGGAGATTATGATTAGCTGGAGAAATATGCGATGGACCAAATTAAAGAAAGAGAAAGATCATTATGAGCAGGTGCGAAAGAAGAATATGTTGAGGAGCTGCGGGCAGCTGAACAATTCCAATGGTGCTAGCAAGAGGAGAAAAAAAAGGAACAAATTTCAAGTTTTTCTCTCTTTTGATGAAGAAGATTAATATCTCTCTCTCTCTCTCTCTTATTTTTTATACACGGATGATTTTGAAAACAGTAGCATCAGAGTAAATATGAGTAGGAAAGAGAGGAAGAGAGAAGTGGCTGACATGACTCATAATTGGTTGGAACTTAATTGGCTGTGAAACTGAGAGAGGAGGCTTAGCTTTAAATAGAAAGAATGCAAATGACAATAGAAAGAAAACCAAACAAAGGGTGGTTGAATTTTCTTTAATTAGAAGTTGATACACATTTCTCATATCCATACTTATAGTCAAATGAGATTTATCCGCCACATTTATATTGAATTTGATTGATTTGGTCTTTGTATGATTAATGATTTCATTAGCTTCTGGGCTTCTTCTTTTTCTGCTTCCTTCTTTCTTGTTTCCTCTCTCTTTTACCAGTCATCATGTCGGTGATGATGAGTATCCTCCACCGCTGTCCATAAACGGCTCCTTCATGCACGGAACGGAACCTCTTCATTTTCTGCGGCTCCAAACTTGTATTCCTGTCCAAATTTGTACATTTGTCACATTTCTTGGTACTTACGTGGCCGCACCTACACAAGTTCAGGATGGTGAACAAGTTCAACAGTAACTGGAACTCCTTTGTTTTTTTTTTTTTCCAGAAACGATAACGATTTTATTCATAAAATTAATGAGAACATACACATTATATGAGCAAGGGCTCAAGCATAGGCTTTACAAAAGTGGACTAAACCACAGAGGAACCTAAAGGTCCTCATTAAAGTATCCTCATAGCTAGCTTGCTCAATTTTTCACTGAGCCTATTCACTTCAACAGGTAAACTATCAAATGAGCATTTCCTAAACATTGAGCTAAGGTCTCTGATATCCTCCAGGTGAGTTACCAGCCTTGAATTGCTAGTAGCTTGGGGTCGTAGCATATTCAGCACCTGAGTACATGGTGTTTGGATCTTGATATATTGCCACCCTTTCTCGTTTAGCTTACAGAGTGCCAGTTTGATGGCCATCAAGTTGTCCACAACAGCCGAACCAGTACTTCTCTCCTTCAGTATCCAAGCTGCACATTTCTGGCTCCTGTTATTTTCTGCTGTAACTCCAATTCCCATGTTTTGGCCTTCTGCATGCTGTCCTACCTCAACACTGATGTTTAGCAGATTATCCTCTTCCCTCAGCCTTTCCTCATCTTCTTGTGCTACTTCTGTTTTTGAGATGCTCATATGATGTTCCATTTGTTGTGCTTGTTGATACTCCTCCCAATCCTTAATTGCTTTCCTGATAACTTCCATTGGATGTCTATCCTTCTCTTCGAATTCAGCTTCATTCCTAGCTTTCCAAATCTGCCAGAGTATTTCCACTGTTAAAGCTATATGTTCCAGTCCCTCCCGTCTGGTTTGTGCCTCCATTAAAATGCTCCACCATCTTCTGAAGTCAGCAGTATGTTCCTTAATTCCATCCCACTGGAGGGGTGCCATCTGCCATATCATTTGAGCCTTTGTGCAATGAAAAAAGATGTGTTCAACTGTCTCACTACCTTCTCCACACAGCTTGCAAATCATGTCACCTTTGCCTATTCTTTTGTATATTGCTTCCCTACCCGGCAAGACTTGGTTCAGACTTTTCCATATAAACAGCTTTTGTTTATGCTTTATCTTCAACTTCCATAGCTGTTTCCAGACTTTCTCACTCCCTCCTTCCCAGCTTGTCTCCCCCTTCAGTCTCCCGTTGGATTCCTGCTGCTTACCCTCCCTTGTGATTGCCTCATACGCTGATCTAACTGTGTATTGGCCATTGGTACTATAACTCCAGGAGTAGCAGTCAGGTCGACCAGTTAGGCTTACAGGAGTCTTAAGTATCTGTCCTGCTTCTCTTGTGTTAAAGGTCCTGAAAACAAGTGGTGAATTCCATCTAGAATTAGATATCAGTTCACTCACTTTGCTCATCAGGCACCCTGTGGGTTTAGGGGACTCTAGCTTTCCATCCTTCCCATCCTGAATCCAAGCATCCTCCCAAATTCTGGTCCCCTTCCCATTTCCAATCCTCTTCCTTACCCCTCGCTTAACCTCCTCCCTAGCTCCCATCAAGCTTTTCCAAATCCAGGATGAGTTGCCTTTTACTTCACAGCTCAAAGGTGACTCCTTCCAGTAGTACTTTGCTTTCAACACCTTGCTCATCAGCAGGTTTGGACTCGTGAGGAGCCTCCAGATTTGTTTACCCAACAAGGCTTTGTTGAAAGCTTGTAAGTCTCTGAATCCTAGTCCTCCTCTGTTCTTCTCAGCTGCCATCTTTTTCCATGAACACCAGTGTACTTTTCTTTTTTCATTATCTCCTCCCCACCAGAATTTTGCCATTAAGGCATGTATATCCTTACACAATTTCACTGGAAGCTTGAAGCAAGACATTGCATAGGTTGGCATGGCCATAGTGATTGCTTTCAGTAACACCTCTTTTCCTACTTGGCTGAGCTTCTTGTTGCACCAGTTAGAGACCTTTTTCTGGCATTTGTCTCTGATATAGCCAAATATTTGTTCCTTGGTTCTGGTTATTACCATTGGCAATCCCAGATACTTTCCTTGATGCACCCTTCTTATATTTCCTAGTCTGCTGCAGATTTCTTCTTGATCTTCTTGTGTCACATTCTTACTAAAGAACACTGAAGACTTGTCCATGTTTATCATTTGTCCCGAACCTTTTCCATATTTTTCCAATATCCTCAGCACCTCTTCAGCTTGACTTGTATCCGCTTTGCAAAAAATCAGGGAATCATCTGCAAAGAAAAGATGACTGATTGCTGGTCCACTTCTGCTAATTTTCATTCCTGTCAGCTTCTGGTTACTCTCAGCTTGAGCCAGCAGATTTGAAAAACCTTCAGAGACTAGTAAGAATAGGTACGGTGATAAGGGGTCACCTTGCCTAATCCCCCTAGAAGGTATCACATATCCTCTTGCTTCCCCATTTATATTGAAAGAGAAAGTAGCTGTTGTGATGCACTCCATGATCCATCTGATCCATTTTTCACAGAATCCCAGTTTGATCATCATTTCCTTCAAATATCCCCACTTCACCCTGTCATAGGCTTTTGACATATCTAACTTTAAAGCCATGAAACCTTGAGATCCCTGCCTTTTGTTTTTAAGATAGTGCATGTACTCATGAGAGACAATGACATTATCCAAAATTTGTCTTCCAGGCACAAAAGCTGCCTGATTTTTACTGATGCAATTATCCAGCACTTTTTTCAATCTGTTTGCAAGTATTTTGGATATGATTTTGTAAATGACATTGCAAAGACTAATAGGTCTGAACTGCTTTATATCAGTGGGGTTTTCTACCTTAGGTATCAGGGAAATAATGGTATGATTAACTGCTTTGAGCATATGGCCAGAATGGAAGAAACTTGTGATGGCCTGAATTACGTCTGTTTTGAGGATATTCCAGAATTTCTGGAAAAAGTTTGGTGTCATGCCATCAGGGCCTGGAGCTTTTGTTGGGTTCATGGAAAACAAAGCTTCTTTGATTTCTGCCTCCCTAACAGGTTCAGTAAGTCTAAGGTTCATTTGGTCAGTGATGGTCTGTGATATTCCTTCTAGAACCATGTCTACCTGTTCAGTCCCTTTACTGCAGAAGAGGTCTTTATAATGACTCACCACTTCTTCTCCTATCTCCTCTTCTGAGTTAGTCCAATCCCCATTCTCTCGTAGTAATCTGTGAAGCTTGTTTCTCTGCCTTCGCCCCTTCACACTAGAGTGGAAGAAATGTGTATTCCTATCTCCCTCCTTTAGCCACTGAACTCTAGATTTCTGACTCCAAAACATCTCTTCTTCCTCATACGCCTCCTTTAATTGTCTTTTTAGCATCTTGTTTCTACTCTTCTTATCTTGGCAGTCAGTGTCTTTCAGCTCCTCCAGTTGCTTTTTTACCTTGTCAATATTCTTCCTTGCATTTCCTTGAAACTGGTTCCTCCATTTGAGGATTTCAACTCTGCAGGTTGCAATTTTCCTATGTACTTTGTACATTCTTGATCCACTGTGGGGACTATTCCAAGCCTGTTTTACTACTTCTTCCACACCTTCTTTTTTCAGCCATCTTTTATCAAATATGAATCTTTTTTTCCTTCTTTCTCGCAGGGGGTTAGCATCCAGTAATATCATACTATGATCTGAGCCAAAATTCTCAATGTGTTTGACTGTAGCTCTGTCAAAATGTTGGCTCCAGGCACTACTTCCTAGTGCTCGATCAAGTCTTTGTCTAATTTCTCCTTTTTGAGTCCATTGATTGCTCCATGTCCACGGTTTCCCCTCAAAACCCAAATCTATGAGGCCATTTTGATGGATAAAAAGTCTGAAGTCCCTAAAAGAACCTTCCTCTCTTCTTCTACCCCCCCATTTTTCATCATTGGAAGCAATATCATTGAAGTCTCCTGAGATCAGCCACCTTTGTCCCCACAGTACCTTCCTTCTCTCAATCACCTCCCATTGATTCCTCCTAATTTGATCATCAGTGCTAGCGTAAATTCCTATGAACCACTAGTCCACATTAGCCTCAGAATCCATGATATGGACTTCTACTGTGAAGGCAGTAGTTACCACATCCATTACCTGCACCTCATTGCTCCACATTACCGTCATCCCTCCTGCTTTATTCATGGATTCCACCACCACACTTTCCTCAAACCTCAACTGTTTTTGTAGTTTTTCCATGAAAATTTTTCTGTTTTTGGTTTCACACAGGAACACCAAGTTTGGGGAGAGAAGGTTACAAGCCTCCCTCAACTGGGGAATTGTCAAGGGGCTCCCAGCACCTTGACAATTTCACACCAGAGCTTTCATTTATCCATGGGTGACCAAGTTGGGCTGGTCACCTCCCCCTCACCTTGCATTACACACCTTTCTTGACCTATCTCCATTTTTCCTTTCTTTCCCGTAACCTCAACCACGTCAACATCCACCATATCTGCATCTACTAGATGAAACTTCCTTTTTCCTGCAGGTTCTTTATTAGCCAAGAGGTTTTGTATCTGTTTCAGAGGTTTCCTCCTTATAACTGGAGTTTTGGCCTGTTTCCTTCTCCTTATAGATGCCTTTTGATTGCTTGTGTCCCCAACATTTTCCAACGTTTCTTCTACTTGCATACTCTCAGTTTCTAAGTGGTTTAAAAGCTGTTCATCAGAATTCTCTGGCACTTTGTTCAGCTTTTCTGTACTGAACATCTCACCCTCATCTTTCGTAACCTGTTCCATTCTTACTGTCCCTACATTCCTGCTCTCCTCCATCTCTAATCTCTTCCCCTTTCCTTCTGTTTTTTTATTTTCACTCTCTTGTTCTTTTGTAGCCCGGGTAGTCCCTTCCTGACTACCAGCCACCTTCAGTCCAGCTTCCTTATCGCCTACAACCTTAATGCCTTGCTGCTCTTTTTCCATCAGTTTCCCTCCTCCTGTCCTTGGCACCAGTTCCCCATCTTTGAATCCCCAACGCTATTTGTTAGGAAATGTATTACCTGACTGTCTACCTCTCCCTTCTCTCTGAGGTGACATCTTCCCCCCTCCTGCCCTGAGCCATGGCCCAAATTGGTTATCCGCCTGGCCTTTCTCCACTTGTATACTATCAGTGCAATTCCTTTCACTATGTCCTATTTTACCACAAGTGTAGCAAAAATCTGGGCACCTTTCATACCTAAAATTAACCCATATCACTTTTCCATCCATTTTAACTGTGGTACCTCTCATAAGGGGTTGGGATATATCTGCCATCACCAATACCTTAATGTGCCTTCCTTCCTTACCACCCCCTTGAGGTATGATAACTTCCTTTGTTTCCTGGAACACCGAAGCTATTTTTCTCCCCACTTCTTTCGAGAGCCAGTGCATTGGGAGGTTCCAGATTTGTATCCATAGTGGGGCGATATTAAACTCAGCCGTTCCCTCTTCAAAACCTTCAAACCAAGGCCTTACTACTAACATATGGCTGTCGATGATCCATGGCCCTCCCTTAGAGATCCTGTCTCTATCTGTGTCACTGGGGATGAAGAACTGAAACGTATTGACTCCTACCTCCACAACCTTCAAACCTTTAGGGTATCCCCATGCTAAGGTAACAAAGTTTTTCACTCCCACAAAGTTTATTATTTTTTCACCTTTAATTTTCCCTACCAGGCTTTCTTCACACTCCTTCACGCTCGGTCCTACGTCTCCCCTGTCAATTTCTGTGCCACCCAACTCTTTTTTTGATAACACGAATTTTTGCAAAATCTCTGCTATCTCCTCAGCCATAGAAAAACCAGCTATGTTTCCAGAGAAGGAATATCACTGACCAAGGCACCTCCAGGAGATGAAGCAAGGGTTAAGTCTACTGAACAGGGGTGGTCTAAACGAACTCTAAAACTCTAGGTAAGAAACTTCCACTGAAGGGAAAGCAGTTCAGAGAGACGACTGGACAGAAAAATAGAAGCGTACAACTGCATCAGTGCACTTAAAACACCAGAAACCAATAAAAACCAACACAAGGCCTACCTTTTTTTTTTAATTATATAAAAAAAACCTTTTAAGGCTGTAGAAAGCCAACGAAAAACAGAGTGCCCTCTCCTATCCACGAATAAGAAAGAAATAAACAAGATTTCGGAAATAAAAAAACCTTATTTTTTTTTTTGGAATGCACAGGATAAACGCGAGGACAGAGAGGACCTCAGCAGGAAAAATAAAACACCTTTCAAGAGTACTTGCAATACCAGGCTAGATCCGTACAGTAACGCTTTAAAGTTACCTGTCTGAGCTTTGAAGACAGAGGTTAGTGGAAATCCTACCAGACTACCTTGATTTTTGGCTCCACCTATCTGAAGCTGAGAAAAAGCCTTGTCCGTTGTCTTTTAATGCTCCTACTTAAATCTGTCGGAAGCTTTAATTTATGTAGAGAGTTTTGTATTCTTGCATATGGGTTGGAAGTTGTATGGTCACTCAGGTTTCAGGCAAATTTTCTCAGAAAGACCTCCCAAGGAGGGAGATCTGCACACTTCCCAAGAGAGAGAAAATTTTGAACTCTCACACGGCGGGAGAGAAACTGATCTGCACTCTTTGTTGTTGTTGTTGATGTCGTTGTTTACATGCATTTTCTCTTGTCAAAGTCGGCCGATGAAGGACTAATTAAAAAAGTGTTTTACTTGTTAATTCCCCTTAAGTAGAGAAGAGATAGCATTCAATGGTTTCATATGTAGGGGTGACAACAGCTCGAACTCGGCTGGTTCGGCCAATAAAACTCCGATGAACCTAAATTTTTATTAGGTCCAAATTAAATATGAATTGAATTTGAATTATATTAGATTCAAACTCGATTAAAGCTCGACTCATAAATGAGTATAATTATATAGATTATGACATAAAGTGTTAATAATTTATATATAAATTTATAATTATAAAATATCTATTACATATAATTACGTATTTAAGTATGAGTTTGAACCAAACCCGATTTAAGCCTGACACTCGTATAATAGTATATAATAGTGTGAGTTGAGTTTGAATCTTTTAATTTGAATCCAAAGCCCAAAAATTATGAAATTAAAAAATTGGTATAATTTGTGAGTCGAGTTTAGACTCGTCGTCGAAACCCACTCAAAATTTCCAACTGACACCCCTATTAATTAATATGTCTGAGCATTCACAAGAACCAATTTTTTTTTTTTTTTTGAAATTTAATCCTGCTGATGCCTAACAACATTGTACTTAAACTTGGAAAATGACACAGCTGGTCGTCACTCTGTCTAGTGACAGATGAAGAAAATCATACGCAGCACCATCCCTTCTGTAAGTAAGATCCCTATAACATTCACTAATTTTGTTCTTTTTAAGTTCTTTCCCCCTTAGGCTTCGCTTTTCTTTTAAGAACATTTCTAGACTCATGGCATGGACAATTAAATCTAATACATAAGCCAAATCTAAGTTCAACACTGCGATCTTCAACTCTTTTCATCATTCCTCAAAAGAGCTTAAAACTTTGTGGATTCAAGCTGCACTATCTTGTTGGAAGTTGGAACCAAACTAGCTCTTCTTGATCCTAGCTCTAAAATCTTGAACGAACATTTACCCAGCAGCTAACTTAACCTAGAGTACAAATAACCTGATTCTTGCTCTGGCCCGGCAAAGTAAGGACAGCAAAACCATTCAAATAGGGGTCTAATTTTATGTAACGAAGTTGGCACACAAAACAGAGACGGCAACAGCAATTTTAGATATCATCCTGGAACTGAACTTTTACAGCCACTCCCTACTCCAGTCCGCACATCCTACAGCAAAGGTTCGTGGAAATATACCACTGGACCATCCCTAGGCTACACACAACACGAGCCAATCTGCTGACTTCACCATAAGTTTGGCTCCATTGCGAAGGAGAATAAGTTGGTCTTTAAACACCTCCTAGAACCACAATTTTAAGGGCCAACTTAAACAGTTTTCAACTTCAAAACCCACAAATTTGGATTCTGTTAAACGTCTATATTCCACTTATGTTGATATATTTACAAAAAAAGAGCTTACAAGAATCCAAGGGAATACAGTAACAGAAAGGATGAGAGATGAGGAGGCAAACAAAAGGCAGCAAATACTGCACCTTTGGCCACAAGAAAAATAGGGAAAAATAATGAATGTGTTAAAACTTAAACCAAAACCAAAGAGAGAGTCATTAAAGGATGGAAGGAGAAAAAGAAAAGGTGGGGAAGAAAACAAAACTTTTTAATGCCTTTTATCGGACGGATCACCTCAAACAAGCAACGGCATTTGGAATTGTTAAATAGCCATCGGAATCACATGGCCAGACCCATCCCAGAAAAACAACACTACACTGACACCACCCATTATATAAGATCTCTTGATTTTTCCCATGAATTCCAAAGCCCTTCAATTGCCAATTAACTCGTAAATGGGGCAACCCTTTCGTATTGGGACGATACCAGGCTCGCAATAGACAAACAAAGCTGATCAAACAAGAATGTTCCCCCAACTGACCTAAATGATGCATTTGACCTTGATTCAGGAGTGGTTGAACCAGGGGCCAACTGCACCATTCACGTGTCCGTTGCTGTGGATTCCAACACCATTTGGAACGAGGGAAGGTGGCAGTCCAACGGCCATTGGAGGTGGAGTAGCAGGATATAATCCATTATTGTGCGGAAGGGAATGGGGGCTTACAAGAGGACTACCAGCAGGACTTCCTTTGCGCTGCTGAATTGTATGAATCTGTCTCAGTCCATCTTCATGGATGCGTGACAATGTCTCCAACTCTTTCATGGATAAAGCTTCTAAGCCAACACCATATAGAGGTGCATGACGCGACATTTCTTCCTGAAGCGAAGCCTCAAGATGATGAATGTATTGCTGCAAAAACAATGAAGTCCGTTAAGCATTATCTTAAAATCAACTGATAACATATTATCGCCTGCATGTCGACAAAATATAAGATAGCAAAGATAACATTCAATTCCGATATGAATTTCCCCGATTCCGAATTCATTAAAACAGTCAATAGCAAAGAACAAATTCAATTCTGGCATGATCTCTCCTAAAATCCAAATATATACAAATAAACACAGTGAAGATCAAATGAAGCTGCAATTTACAAAATGTGAGGATCATGGGAATACATCAAAAACAAGACCAAAACAACCACCAGAATATTTATCCTGATTCCTTTGGCAAAAAAACACACAGACAAACAAAATTGACTTCCAAAAACTTCACTTTACACAATCTGAATGAGGGGCTGGTTATTAGCCAAATAAATCCCAACATTTGTATGCACAATGTCATTCATGGTTATCCAAATTGTCATTTCCAGCAGTTTAAATCAGATTGCTCAATTAGAACAGGGTGCAATCATGACTTCTAAATGATTATGTTGGACAAGAAGTTGACTTCATCATTCATTCAAAGGGAAAAAAGAAGAGAGAAATTCCTCATGAATCCAAAAATAAGTCAACAAAATCAACAAGAACTTCCCTTTTATTGTTATTTAGTTATCAATTTAGTTATCATTTGCCTCCTGGAATATATATGTAAGAATGGCCCAAAGTGAGAAAGAAGCCATCAGCCAAATACATTTTAGGAAAGAACTCTAGGAAGAGCAATGCCAAAAGCAAATACCTCACAGGCCTGCAATTTGGATTCCATCCCATCAATATAAGTTTCACATCGAGCAACTTGCTCTTCTTTCTCACGCTTCTCCCCTTCAGTTTGCCCAACAGTTTGTGTCAGCCGGCGAATCTCATCTTCAAGTGATTGCCTTATTTCTTCACGAGTAACATTCTCTGTGGCATATCGCTTCAGTTCTTCATCAAACCTTTTCCGAGCAGCTTCGGCATTCTTTAACCTCTCGGCCAATGCATTTTTCTCTTTCATAACTCTCTGGAGTACCCACAAGGTTACATCAGAAAAGCATCACTTTAACACTAAATGCCAACTAGAAATTTTGAAGTTACAAACACCAATGAAAACATCCTACTGTTGCCACATGTATACGTAGGTAGAGAGATTTCAGTCACTCTGTTCTCCATTTCTCATGATTGGTTGCACAAAGTATTAGGCAAACAAGTTGTATGCACCATATGTCAAGATACATAAAATTCTTTAATGTCAACAAGTATCTCTGTTTCCAACAGACAAAAGATTCTGCAAAACTAATGCAGTGAACATGCACATACTCTCTGGGCCACAAGACAACGAATCTGCAAATACTGTCAGGGGCCTTGTGCTTCATATTTAGGACTGGAAGCAGAACAAAAACATATACCAGAAAAATTCCTTTTAAACCATGAGCCAAAATCATATAAAAGATCCTCTTTCTAGGTTCAAGCGCAAATGAGTATCATTCCGACAGTTATCGATTTTAGTGTCCTCACTGAACAAACTCTAACATACCTCCCCAGTTTCTTAACTCTTTTTCCCCCCTTTTCTTTACTGTCATTCGTTAATTTCTTCCACACCCATAAGCTAAACCGCTAATGCCAATATAACACCGAGTCAATTAGATAACAGTTACAGAGACAGAAAAACACTAAGTTTTCAGTATGGTCCCCAAGTGAGTGAATGTGTATGCACAATATCCTTTTTGACAAATTTCAACAAATTTGTCACAAACTCCATCAGCTCTTGAGTTAAGAAAGCACAGATACAGAAGATGATATATACACAAACCTTCAACTCATCACGTTTTCGTGATCTCAATTGGGAAAGCTGTGACTCTGCATCATGCAGACGATCCTGAAGAACTTTCTTTTCTGCACTGAGTTTCGCTATTTCATCATCCCGCTCTGAGCGAAGCCACTCCAGTTGACTCTCAACTTCTTGAATCTGTTCAGACAGCTCCTTTCTTTCCCGGGCAAAACGATCAACTTCAGTCTTCAGCTCAGACTGTCATTTCATAAGAAAGTAATAACTTAAAGATATCAATCAGATACGGTAGTAATTACAAGACCAGCAATTAAAACTAGAAAAATACCTTAAGTCGGTTATTGGCAGCCTCTGATTCGCTTAACTTCTGCGACATATGAGCTTTTTCCTTGGCCACACTAGCAAGTTCTGCTTTCTTTTCTTCACGAAGTCGAAGAATTTCATCGTCAGTGGCACAGAGCTGATGCCAAAGAGCCGCCCTATCAACATTTGCAAGTTCAGCAACTTCTCGCATCATGCTCAGAACCGGTCTAACAATTTCTTGCTCCTCACAAACCAAGATCACCAAAATCTCCAAATCCAAGTCTATTTCACGACTACCTTCTGTGCTACTGGTAGCACGATCTACAAGTCTCTTGAGCATCCTCAACCTGTAAGGCTCATCAGTGTACCATTTAAATAATATGGTATAAAGCATCTTTACAAATTCTTTTATGCAGGGATCCTTAGAGAGTGCCAGTGTCTCAGCAAGACCAATAACAGAAGTGAAATCATCCTGTTGAGCCCTCAACTGCTCAATAGTTTCTCCTTCTACAGTTATATCGGAGTGCCCAAAATTTTCAGCTACATATTGAGAGGCCGAATTTAACCGTCTAGAAAGGCGTCTTTCCAAGACCATGGCCATAGACTGAGCTACAATGGCTCCTCTAGCTACAGCTCTCTCAAAAGTCTGGGAAGCTTCAACAGCAAGGCAAGGGATTGATAACATTTCAATAAGAATATATATGTCTGAAAAATAATAATTAGCACGAATAGCTTGTTGATTTACTGCATGCATTCTCTCAGATGTCGCACTTTCACCAACTAAGAACATCCCAGAAGGCATTGCAGAGATATCATCAAGATCATCACTACAATCAATATCTCGCATAATAGCTTCAGCAATATCTGCACAACTATTTACAGTTCGGCTTAAATAATCAAGGACACATGGGGAAACTTCAGTCCCCAAATTTTTTAGCCTAACACGCACTGCTCTCACCTGCAGAGAACACAAATACGATTATTTTGAATACAGAAACAATGGGGTGAGAGAATAAAACTAAGACTATGAATACAAATTTGGTTTGATTGCATACTGCTTGAGAAAGATGTTGGCAATGTAATGCAGCTTTGAAAATAAAATCCACAGTTGCTGCAAGAGGTTCATCATTTGAATCTGCCAAAAGCCCAAATGACTGAAAAAGAACACGTTCCCACACTTCGCTGCTACATTCCAACTGACTAAGTGCACTGAAAACCTGATCAATGAAGATTTGATAAATATTTCTTGATAGAAAAAGTGAAACCAGACAAACTAAAACCACATCCACATAATACTATGTGGGAAGAACAAGAATTATCATACAGGCAAGCGCAGACTAGTTTCTGCATCTGGCTTTCGTAATCGATCTAAAAGAGCACAAGCAGCAAGCGGATGTTCTGAATGTTCAACTAATTTTGGTACCAAAGCAACTAGATCTGGTTGTAGATGCTTTGGTGCTTTATCCAATACAAGAGCTATCTTCTGTGCAGAATGTGGTCTTCTTCTTGGCTCGGGACAACCTTGAGGAACAGCTCCATCAAGTGCTCTCAGAGAGTTCACAATCAACCCAAGAAGCTCCTCAGACTGCTCAGGCCACTTTGTCTGAAATTACAATTTCTTTGATCAGTCTATGCCAGAGAAGGTTAACTATGATGATGTAATCAATCTTTTGATAATTTGGCAATCATACCTTGGAACGCATGGTAGGATTTTCAGAGAAACCACCAGCAGAAGTTTCGGGTGGACAAATAGGTTGTCCAGGAACTGGTTTCCCAAGCACAAAATTTCCATCTACATCTGAGCTTTGCACAGCAGAGGCATTCATGCTCTCATCCAGTGCTGAATCGAATCTGTCATGTAGAGGAAGTTGTGCAGACTCCACTGCTCCATTGCCTCTATCTGATTCAAGTGGAGTAGTTGAACCACTACCATCTAGGGAAGGTTTGGAACTTATTTCAGAGGAATCATCAGCTGTACTTTCTTCCGAAGGTTGGCAACATTCGACCATTATATCCAGAAGTAGATCAATAATTGCTTGTTGCAAAACTTTAACTCCCATCAACAAGTTCATTAGACTGGGGGAAGACTCGTCATTCTTATTTAACTTCTTTCCGTCATTACAGCCAGATATCTTTGTAGGCAGAAGCAAGCGCTTTACTTTAGCAGGATCATCAAGATAAACACGAAGTCCTGTCAGAAACCCAGCAATTGCACCAGCATCAATGAGAAGTTTCTCTCTTAATGTGACCTGTGGCTGCGAAGGATTGTCTCCGTAAGTCAGGTGAAATCCTGCCCTTGAAAGAAGATTTCTGAAAATATCTTCGTCATCTCCACTTATCCCTTCACTATCCTCAGAATCAATCAGTTCATCAGGATCAGTTGTCAGAGCATCCTGGTCATCCTCGGAAGCTAAAACCTGATAAAAGGAACACAAAAACTCAAGCAGGTATCCATAAAAACTTAACCAGATGAATCTGTATTCTAGGCACACAATCACTGAAAGTGCAGAAACATCAAACATTGCAAAATGACTCCAAGATTAATGGTTCCCACAGAAAACCCACAAACTCAGGCAAAACCACTTATTTAACTGTTCCATCAGCCCCAATTGTCTCAAATCTCACCGGATTGGTCTTATTGAAAAGTAGTCAAACTAAAGGCCTCCATGTTTCTTAGCCGAAACATTGACAAGCACTAATGAAAGCAAGAGCTAATAGTTATTGTAAGCCAATATATATCTTTAAAAATAGTGATCAAGCAATCAAACTGAAAATTCGTTAGGTCAACACCAAACACTTAAACATGATTATATTTCTTCCCCTTGCTTACAAAACAGGGGAGCCATGAAGTTACAGTAAGATTGCTCTAGAACTTGGCTTCCAAATTCAAGAAACAATAATTTGATCTCCAAACAAGGACAAAGTCGTGTATTGACAAATGTCAGATTCATGAATTTTGTCTAGCAGCTAATAACTAAATTAATTCATCGTTTGAGTCTCTATGATGATTGATCTTCAGCAGCTTCCTTATAATTTCAGCCTGTGAATTCTGTATCAAGATTCTTGTTTGGACAGCTAACAGTTTCCACTAAAGCAACTGTTATAGATCATGAGAGAACCACATACAACATCCTCCTCTATAGAAGTAAAAGTTCTATTATGCATCTATAAGTTAGCAAATGACCCAAAGGCACCATCAATTTCTGTCATAGGTGATTACTAACATGCTCAACATGAAGATACTTCACCAAAACCACAAGACATAAACATGCCGAGAGAAGTATTTATAAATATTATTTCCTCACTTTGTTCAGGATACTTTCATTTTTAGCAGATATATCTAACTTGGAGGACAGGAAACAACTTCATACTTGTCATATTTCTTTTTTTCGTCTTGGAGAGAGAATTTAATTTCCTAAAATAGAAGATAAGAATGACTAACCTCTAGGTCTGAAAACTCAAACCAAGGGCAGCAGTCCAAAATTTCACATACAAAGACAACTGTTTCACGCACAAGAAATCCTGCATCTGCTTCCAACATATCTGACACTTTCATAAATTGAAGAACAGAGTTATTCCATGTCTTTGTGCATATAGAGGACTCCTTCCACACAGTTTTTGAAGGGTTTTTTTGGTTTACAATTGCCATTCTGTATCTGACCCAAAAATTCTTTTCAGGGTCAGTGCCAATAGATTGATCACTCTCTAAGTATATACATATGGTGTCAAATGACTCGTATACACCTGCAAACCAAAGGTAAAAGTTTAACATGGAGAACACTTTAATCAGTCAACTTCAGGAACGCCAACAACTATGAATCACAAATCTCAACTGGAAACGAACATCACAAGGAAGTAGAACCCACCAATCCGAAGTTCACATCCACCAGCTTGAAAGAATTTGCTAAATATCTTCCGAGTTTCCATAATTTCTTTGAAGGACATGAAGTTTTCCACCTTCCATGTAAATGAACTTCTTCTTCCAACTTTTTCTGACAAGGGAAGAGTATTTCCTGGCTCACAGTCCTGATCGGTTAAATCCTGAATTACTGATGTCTCTTTCAAAATAAGGACTTCAGCAGAGAAGCTAACAACGTCCTTCTCAAGAAACCCAGAATCTTGATCAAAGAGACTCGTCAGTGTCACAAATTCACGCCAACCCCAGTCCTTTGCAGCCTTGGAGTACCGATTTTGAGATTCCTTTGTGACAGATTTTTCATCCGACTTTTGGTTGAGAACTGATAATCTATGGCTCACAAAGCAACTCCAGTCATTGTTAGTATTTCGGGAATCTGTAACTTCAAGAAATACTGAGAGGTGGCACGGTGGCTGAGACTGCCCTGATGCCACGAAACAGAATAGCAGTATTACACCATTCAGCAAAAGAAGGACAAGACAATATGTCAAAAAGTACAAAGTGAGTTTGTGTACGATGAAAGGTTAATTGTCCTTCAATCAATCACAACCAGGCCAGGCATCAAATAATGTTCAAAGAGAACCCGACTTTTAAATGGAAGAACAAAATTAACAAACTGCAGGATGGAACCTATTAGATATCTCTTCTGTGGGAACACAGGAAGAGGGGGCAGGGATGTGATATGTACAAAATTTTTTTGAGATAAAAATTCAACAGCACCATTCAAAATGAAAAGATCAGGGGCCGTTTGGTAACGTTCATGTTTTCCCGTTTATGTTCTTTAAGACAACTAGAACGAAACACTTGTTCTATTTATTATTATGAACAAATAGAAATATGTTTGGTGCAAGATATAGTTTTACGAATAATTAAAGATAAACATGTTTGGTTGCCCTTTAATTGTTCTTAGTTTTTCAATCCTTTTCTTTGCTCCCTTCTCCCTTCTTTCAAGAAATTCTTAATCAATGGAAAACATATCTCCAAATCAACCACAATAAACAAAATGCATACCAAAAAAAAACACTAATATTAATCATCAAAACCACATTTATACCCTTGAATCACCAAATTATTAACAATTTGTCCACAATAAGCTCGAAATTAGCACAATTCACCAAATAATTAACCAAAATCAATCCCAAAATGATCAAGAAGTAGTTTACAGATGTCACCAAAATTAGCCAAAAATATAAAAATAATCCCGGAATAAAAAAAATTCACCAAGCAATTGGCCAAAATCAATTCCCAAATTAACCCAATCACCAAATTTCACCAAGTCCAAACCCATAAAATTAGTCCTAAAATTATTGAATCCTCCCAATTGCATGGCAGCACCAAGGGCTCCAGCTTTCTATCCGCATAAACTGATGATAAGGAGATTTGGGAGCTATGAGTATGGGGAAACCAAAACTTCACTTTTGATTCAAAAACACTGTAACATTCCCTTAAGTTGATATACTAAAATCTGCCACAAAGGATGTGAAGGGATTGACTCTTCAATATCTTTATCCACTTTAAATTTGAGCCCTGGAAATTTGAGCCTCATACAAACAAACTGCGAGTAACACCATAGAAAATGTCTTTTCCTTTTTAAATTTATGTACTGATTCCATTTGATGAAAACACTAAGAAAAGTATTAAAATACTATTCATTAGAATACTATTCACGCGTGTTTTATCATGTTTGTAGAACAAGCCAATAAACCAATTTTGGTGTTTTAGAAACAGGCACATTGTTTCAAAACATTTATCCGTTTACAAAATCAAAAACACCTCTAGCAAATGCTGTTCTTTGTTTGTGTTTGTAAAATTCTCCAAACATAAACAAAAAAGCAGCAAACATAAACATTACCAAATGGCCCCTTAGTTATGGCACTTAAGACTTTGGATCCACGTTCGAGTGTTAATTCAAATGGGACCTGGCTTAGTACCATTTAAAGCATGACAATAATTCATAAAAATATAGCAAAATGCTTACCTCGAGGATAAACAATAAGGCGACAATCCCGGTTGCCAATTTGAAATCTCCTGCTCTTGATGCAAAGCCCAGTGATCTTCCTCTTCTTGAGAAGGTCTTTCAACCTCGTGAAATTCTCAATCTTCCAAGAGAACTTCCCATAATGGCCATCGTTTTTCTTGCTAACAATATTCCCATTTTTGCCAGCATCCTTCCCTGGATTCTTAGAGAAATTATTCTGTTCTTTAATGACATGGAACGATGTGCTGAAAACTGCCATGTCATCCACCAAATACCCTGACTCGGTCCCTATGAAATCTGACATCTTCATATAATCATTCCATCCCAAACTGGTGTTATCTCCACTCTTATTATCGGCTGCAAACCTCCCATATGAGTCCCTATGCATGTGATTAAACCCCGGCTTCTGATTCAACACGGACATCCTAAACAAACACCAGCAACTCCTATCAGAAACCCCTAAACTCTTCTCAGTATCCTTACTCTCCAAGCACATTGACAAATAGTCCACCCCATTCACGGAGCTCTGGTACACACTAATCCTCAAATTACACTCTCCAGCCGGAAAAACCGGGCTCATTATCTTCTGAGTCTTAATCATTTCCTTAAACAAGCTAAAGTTATGAACCTTCCAAGTGAACTTCCCACTCAAGACATCCCCATTGACAACACCAGCAGCCAAATTAGAGGAAGGGTTGGACTGCATATCGTTATTATCCCGCGAGAACGAAATAGATTCGTGTAAGATCAATATATCAGCGGTAACTAAGAGGCAATCATTATTAAACAAAAAGCCGAGCTTAGGTTCCAAGATTGAGTTAGAGGGAGAGAAATCACACCAGCCATGGGATTTCTTCTTGGAGGAGAAGCGGTGCCAGCTGTCGCGGTGGATGGACTTAGTGGGGTCGGAAGGGTGGTCGACGGAGAGGCGGTAGCTGGCGAAACAATCCCATTTGGACGACGTGGTGTTGCGCGGGTCCATGATTTGTAGATAGATGCTGATGTATCCAGGGAGGGCCTGGGAGTCACCTTTAGGGTAGATTAGCAGGCGGCAATCGTAGCCGCCGACCTCGAAGTACTTGCTCCAGAGCGCCCGAGCCTTGACTCTGGGGAAATTAGCGATGGCCCATTTGCAAACGGCGGCGTATTCGCCTCGGCGCTCGACCACCACAGTCTCCGCCGCCGCGGTGGCGCACGTTGCGTCACGGGACGAGGCGGGATCCTCGGCAGCCAACATGGGCTTGTCAAAAGATAAGGAAGATTGGGCCGGAGTCGTCATCGGCGTCGCCGTCGCCGTCGCCGTCGCAGCCGATGAATGGGATGATGAGGCGGATGAAGAGGTGGCGGTTGGGGCCATCTGGGCTTGGTCGGAGGAAGAGGACGACGAGGGGACGGCAGCATCAGTGGAGAGGTGGTGGTGGTGGTGGTGGTGGTGCTTCATTGCTGGTGTCTGTTATGTGTAGGTCTTACGTTTGTGTGATTTTGAGGGAGTAGTTCTTTCTAGGTTTTGTTTTGCGTTGATATTTCTTTAACTTTTTGTCTTATTTTTGTTTTGAAATAAATACGGACCAAATAGGAAATAAATGTGTGCTGGAATGGATGGGGGATTTTGGGGGGGGCGCGGGGAGAAAAGACAGATGTAAGCCTATAGGAGGGAAGGAAGAGGGAGGACTCTTCAGGACTCAGGATGAAGAAAGCGTTTGGGACTATACTACACTGTACTATAGGGAAGTGTAGCTTTTGTTTTCAATTTTTTCATTATTTTTTTTTTTTGATGCTTGGCTCAAGGATTGATTAATTTGGACCGTCAACAACATTTGTTTTTTTTTTTTTTTTTGTGTACTTTTTTGGGTTTATGTCATAGCATGATGCTGTGGTGGGATGGAGGGGGTGCGTGTGTGAAAGGGCAAGAAGTAACAAACACCAATCACACACACAACAATCCATCATCATGCTTGGCACACACTTTCTTACACAGGTTCTCTCTAGAAAGAAGAGGAGATTTTGATGAAGAGGAGGGGGAGCCAGGGTTGCATTTCCATGATTTCTTTCCTTTTGTTTTCTTATTTTCTATTTTGGGCTGTACTGAAATGGGGTGCCTTATGTTTGGTGCTTTTCCCCTTTTTTTCCTTCCTTTGTATGCATGAATCATGATGAGATGTATCTCATCTTTAGACTATACTTAAACATTTGTTTATACTCTATTTTGGGAAGGGGTGGATTCAAATGGAACCTAGCCGTCATTGGACCAGACCAGATGGTATTTTGGGAAGGGATGGACCTGGAGAGAATTGAACCGCTCTTGGATTAGATGGATGCCTTGTGTATTCTTCGGTGAAATTTTCAAGCAAACCTGAACAAAAATGCATCTCATCTTTAGATTATACTTGAAGTGAACCAAATGGGTGCATTGTGTACTCTCCGGTGAAATTTTCAAGAAAACCTGCATAAAATGCAAGCGAAGCTGAGTTGGTTATTTTGAGATTATACTTGAATATTTGTTTATAGTATTTTCTTAAAATGCTGATTCTTTCACATTTTCGCTTGCTATGATATTTTTAAATTCCTCAATTTGTATTGTGAATTGATATTTCCATTTATAAACAGGACATCACAAGTTTTGGATTATACTATTTAAACATTGGGCTCGACTAACAAGTGCAGCCATGCACTTGTTAAGATAGGTGCAAGTGTTAATTTTGTTTGAAAGTAAAATTAATTTGATAAAGTATTTAAATATAGAAAGATTGAATGTGAGTGTATATATTCACGTGATAAATTAAGTGTGATTTAAGCGTGTTAACGATAGCCCTCAAAGCACTTGTTAGAAAATCGTAACGTTTGATTCTTTTACATTTTCACTTGATTTTTTTCCCTAGAGATTCCATAATACAGTATTTGTATCGTGAGTTGATATAATCACTTGTAGACCAATATCATAGGATTCTTTTCTTTTATATTAGCTTACAATCTAATAAGCTATATTTATTCAGAAAAAAAAGAAAAAATCATTCCTCACATTTTGCAGAATGACTTTTTTCGTCTCTTACTTTTAAGAGTGTAATTTTACGTCCCTTACAAATTCACATTAATCAAATTTGGTCCCTACCTATGTTTTCGACTAGTTTTTTATCTGAATCCACCATGTGCCTTGTACGTGATCATTTTTTAAAGGCAAAATTGTCAAATCAAATTTCGCATAATTCGATTTTTTCGTCCCTCACATTTTACAAAATGAAATTTTTCGTCCTTGACATTTCAAAAAATGAATTTTTTCATCCCTTACTTTTCACAAAATTAATTTTTTCATCTTTCATTAATCATGTGTATAATAGTTTCTTTCTTTTTTTAAGCCCATGATATATGTATCTATTTGATTTCATTTGAACAGTATGAATATCATGTAATATATATATATATATATATATATATATATATATTTGTAAGGTTATCAGTAATTACTAAGGTAAGGTTACATGATTACAGATTACTAAGGTTATTAGAAGTAATTACATGGAGTTATATTGCAATAACTAAGGTTACCAGTAATTACAAATTCCTCTTTAACCACATGCGCCAAACAACCGCGCGATGTGCTGGCATTCATTCTCTAGTGTGTATATATATATATATAAGTTTTCAAAAATAAGAAAAGGCTGTCGTACACATAATCAATGAGGGATAACAAAATTTCATTTTGCAGAATGTGAGGGATGAAAAAATTTATTTTGTAAAATGTGAGGGACGAAAAATTCATTGTGTAAAATGTGCGGGACTATGGATCAAATTATGTGAAATGTGTTTGACAATTTTACCCCTAAAAATAATCATGTGCAAGGCACGTGATAGATTCCGACCAAAAACTAAACCTAAATAGAGATTAAATTTGATCAATGTGAATTTGTAAGGGATATAAAATATACTTTTAAAAGTGAAGAATGGAAAAAGTTATTTTACAAAATGTGTGGAGCATTTTCAAAGATTTTCCAAAAAAAAAAAAAGAGTCCAAAAAAAAAAAAAGGTCTACCCAAAAGAATCTGCAACTCTATTGCAGCAACTTTTAACCACTTGTCAAATGTCACGGAGTATGTATTACTAGTAGATTAGACAAAATGTGTGTGGTATGGTGTACGTCTACATCATCACTCAAGTCATTAAACCGGAAATTCACCTCACAAAACGTTGCAGAATCAAGAAAACTGTAAAAAGTGGTTTTCTCCACTAAATTACTTTCCGTCCCACTTGAATTATAAGTACGAACTCCCGTACGAAAAATTGCCAGACCAAACTCACGTACGAAAAAGGTCAAATACATAAGTTTGAAAATTGCCAGACAAATCCAAATAAGCTAATGTATCATGCTCCGCGCTGACTGCTACAATTAACCTTCCCTGAATTGGCAAATTCCCAAATCCCACCACCCCTACCATCCTCTCTCGTCCCACCACCGCCACCACCTGTCTCTCACCTGTCTCTCAGAGGACTCCCGGGATTTCACTTTCTTTCCCTAATTAATTTCCGGGTATTAATTGAACAGTAGTACTTCGTTTGCTACTGATGCAAATCCAATGAGGTCAGAATGTTCAGATGGATTATTTGCTCATCAGTTGGCAGTTCCATTGACTGCTGTTTGCAGATTGAATGCTGCCGCTTTGGCAACCCCTTTTTTTCTTCTCATTCTATAAGGTCAGTGCAAACTAAATTTACTCTTGTGAAAATTGACTTTTTAATTTTTTGTTTTCTGTTTGGCGGAGAAATTGGGTTTGGATTGAAACAAGATTTGCTTGGATTAAATTCCAAATTTTTGGATTTCTTGCAGTGTTTGAGTTACTGAGTCAAATGATTATTGGGTTTAGCAAAGCATTCATACTTGTTGGACTTGATTGCTATTTTCATCAAACCAGGTAGCTGCATTTTGCATTCTTTGCTTACGGTTTAAGGGTGTCCTTTAAATTTTTTTTTGCCCCCTTTAATCGCTTATTGCTTCATGTTTACTGTGTTAGGTTTGGTTTTGCAGTTAACATGCTTCTACATTACACCGTATCTTTGTTGAAGACAACAGAATGTTGATTCTTTCTTTTTTCTCGACCTTTCATTTTTTTTATTTAGCCTTTTCATTATTTGAAACCTTTATGAGTTCCTCTGTTTCCCTGCTTTTACAGATGGAAGTTGTTTGCCTCAACAGTGAGCCAGCCTTCAATGAAGGTGATGAATATGAGCATGAAGGAGATTCTGCCACGGGGGAAAATGCGGATGAACTGTGTGCAGCGCCGCACTTGAAAAGGGAGCCCCCACCACCCACAGTTGGTTTGGAGTTTGACTCTTTTGATGAAGCTTATGATTTCTATAATGGCTATGCCAAGGATCAAGGATTTGGCATTCGAGTGAGCAATTCGTGGTTTAGATCCAAAAGGAAAGAGCGTTACAGAGCGAAACTCAGTTGCAGTAGTGCAGGTTTCAAGAAAAAAAGTGAAGCAAACAATCCTAGACCAGAGACAAGAACTGGTTGTCCTGCAATGATAGTCATTAAGCTTGTTGACTCTAAAAGGTGGAGAATCGTTGAAGTTGAGCTTCAACACAATCATTTAGTGAGCCCTGAAATCAAACGCTTTTATAAGTCACACAAGAAAATGATTCTTGCCGCCCAGAAATCACAGCAAGCTGAACCCGTTAAAGAAATACATACTATTAAGTTATACAGGACTTCAGTTATCAATGCAGCGCCCAATGGGTACTCCAAAGTTAAGGAAAGAGATGTTAGGCATCCTACAGATCACTCAAAGCATTTGGAACTTAAAGAAGGGGATGCACATGCAGTCTACAACTACTTCTGCCGCATGAAGTTGACGAATCCAAATTTCTTTTATTTAATGGATCTTGATGATGAAGGACGGTTGAAAAACATTTTCTGGGCTGATGCTAGGTCCAGAAGTGCTTATATTTACTTTTCTGACGCAATTGCAATTGACACAACTTGCTTGACTAATAAGTATGAGTTGCCTTTGGTTTCTTTTGTGGGAGTAAACCACCATGGGCAGTCTGTCTTATTGGGATGTGGTTTTCTTGGGCACGAGTCAGTTGAGTACTTCGTTTGGATGTTCAGGTCATGGCTGACATGTATGTTAGGCAGGCATCCACGAGTTATCCTCACTGATCAGTCAAAATCCTTGCAGATGGCCATCTCTGAGGTATTTCCTGGGACTCGTCATTGTTATTGTCTGTCATATATCATGCAGCGTGTTCCTGAGAAATTGGGTGGACTGAGGGGATATGAAGCTATCAGGAAGCAACTGAATCAAGCGGTATATAATTCTATGAAGATAGCTGAGTTTGAAACTGCCTGGGGTAGCATGGTCGGTCAGCATGGGCTTGGGGAGAATAAATGGCTACAATCATTACATGAAGATCGACAAAGATGGGTGCCAGTGTACATAAAAGACACCTCTTTTGTTGGAATGATCCCTGTTAAAGAAAATGAGGTTTCAAAACCTTTGTTTGATGGCTATGTTCACAAACACACATCGTTCAAGGAATTTCTGGATAAGAATGACCTTGCACTGCAAAGAAAGCTGATGAAAGAAGCTACAGGTGATACAGAGTCCAGAAATTGCAGCTTTGAGTTGAGAACAAAATGTAATTTTGAGTTGCAGCTCTCCAAGGTGTACACCAAGCAAATTTTTGAAAAGTTCCAGATTGAAGTTGAAGGGATGTACTCTTGCTTCAACACAAGGCAAGTCAACATCAATGGGCCTATAATAACATATGCTGTTAAAGAGCGAGTTGAAGTAGAAGAAAGTGAAAAGGAGGTTAGGCAGTACGAGGTTCTGTATGAGACAACTAACATGGAAATAAGGTGTATTTGCAGCTTGTTTAATTTCAGAGGTTACTTGTGCAGACATGCATTGAATGTCTTCAACTATAATGGTGTGGAAGAAATCCCATCTCAGTACATCCTACCACGCTGGAGCAAAGATTACAAACGCAGGTTTCCTCTAGATCCTTTCCCCAACGACGTTGATTTGAATGACTATGTGCTTAGGTATAATCATCTACTTAGCCGTGCTATTCAAGTCATTGAAGAAGGGGCGCAATCTCGGGAATGCTGGAAGGCTTCCTTACAAGGATTGGAAGAGTTATGTAGGAAATTCGCTCTTGAAAATGTTGATGAGGTTTATTTGTAACCATTAACTTCATTTTTTTGGGGGGGTTTTTGGTCTCAACTGTTCTTGCACATATGTATAGGTGTACATATACTCCATATCCTTGTCATCCACATTTGCATTATTCCAGTGTCTGTGTAGACAAGACTGAGCTCTCAATTTATCCAGATTGGCCAATACGAAGCTAGAAATTGTCTAATTACCAATTTTCTGTCATTAACAACCTACTGTTTGACTACTTTACTCCCCTGCTTCCTCACCAATCATCTCTTCTGGTTTTCCTAATACCTAAGGTGCAAAAACTTGGAACGTCCACGCTAGTTAATCCGATTTGATGAGAACCATTCACTCGCAGAAGTTGTTCAGGGTTTCAATCCACAAAAATCCCATGGCTTGGGGTTCTGGATGCTGGCGCTACTTCATTCAGTTCTGTTCCAGTTAAGAAGAGTTTTTTGACATGGGCATCAGCTCTGAAGCTCATCAAAGCGAAGGGTTCCATTGAAAATGCATGTCTTACCTAACATTTTGAAGCTAAGCTTGTTCAATTGTGAATTTTGATGAGACTCATCGAAGCACAAATTTTACAGTATGTTACTTCGTTTCTGAATGCACAGGTTTCTGGCTGATAAGATTAAAACTGTAAGAATGAAACTGCAATAGTTAGGGAACGTTCACATCCTGTATCCCAAAGCAGAAGTAGGTGCAAACTTATCAAGCGTGGCACCAAGTGATAAACAGGAGCAGGTGCAACTCACTTTGGCATTCAGTTCTGCAACTGTTACGCATGGAGGAAACGGTTGTCATTTGCATTGAAAGTATACCGTTTCACAACCTTGAAGTTCTGGTTGTGATAAATGGCAAACTAAACTTCAAGTTATAACTTAAAAAGTATCTTAACTACTAACATATTTAATCTAAACCTGGATGATAATCAATTATTTGATGGTAATGATATCCACTAATCTCAAACAAAACCACTATCAAAGATCAATGTGCGGCTCAAGTAAAACATTTACCTTCAACGATCACTACTCTCTAATCAAATTGATTCCAAAGTGATGGAAATATCTTAAGGTCTGAATTGTTACAAGAGGATATTAAGGGGGTGAAACTATATTGGCCCCAGAATTACTCAAAGAAAATTTGCAGGGACTCCATTAAGATTGTAGAAATAATTAAAATTTTGAAAGATATTATGTTTGTGTGGCTCGACATCCTGCATTGTCACTTTTTCCTCTAGTCTCAGCCACAGTAAAAGAGCAAAAGAAAAAGAAGCAATAAAGACAAATTAAAGTCCAACAATTCTTATAAAAATCACATATCACACTCAGCTTAAAAAACTAAAAATGATCTCCATTCAGCATATTGAACATTGGACTGGCTTAACCATACAGCGGAAGACAACAACAGATGGAGAATGCTTCCCTATAAACACTATAAACATATGCCACTCAGCTTACCTCCAGTCCTATCTGGTTTTCTACATCAAAGATAGTTGTGGAGTGAAAATGAAAAGCAAAAGAATAACTTACTCCTTTTACATATCGACAACTTAAACCAAGTATCAAAGCTGCATAATAAGTTACACTTTGACGTAACAGGTAGCTATATGCAAGAGAAAAAGATATTCTCACAAACAAATCTGAGCGACACTCCTGAGAGACTGAGGTACCAAAAAAACACCATGTGCCAATGATGGAGAGGAACCAAAGGAAGGGCAAATAACTCTCACTTGATGCTGTAACTCACTTCAGACAAGTAGGAAGAGTAAGCCCATGGCAAACAAAGGCCAAAACAACATAAATTACCACGAGGAGGAGAAGGATTAGTGCAATCCTGCAAAGAGTTCCACATTTTATTAGGGCTAGCAATATAGAAAGAACATACAGAGTTGCAACTTAATCCAGATAATGCCTATGCGATAAATAGGAGGTTCTTAATTAACCAGATTAAACAACATTCGAAAAACATATGCGATCAAATATTAGGTGTGCGGGTGTGCGACGTGAAGGGTGAAAGAGAAGCATATAAATTTCTGGTATTTTATGCTAATTTTCAGTGTATGCGACGGTGAAGAGTGAAAGAGAAGCATATAAACTCATTTGCTGTTGAATGTCTCAGGAACACATTGATTTTTAGCATCTATGCTAAAACTATAACTATGCATATCTAAACTAGCAAACCCAAATGTACTTCACTCCGTGAAAAAGGTGCAAGCACTAAAAACCAGCCAGCTGCATAACCATAACCACTACAACCGAGTCTCAAGCCACACCACCCATGTCCTAAGGCTCAGCTCCATACTACTCTTATTCTTTGCACCTTCCTTCAACAGATTCGACATACATTTGCTAAGCAATTCTAGAACCAACACGAAAAGCACTTGGGAGGGAAAGGGGGAAGGATCTAAGTTCCCACCTCTCAAAGATAGCCTCAAATCATGTCAAAAAGTCCATTTCAGATTCAATTGCATTAAGTGAAGGAAACCAGGCTAAATGCAATCGTGGCTTTATTACCATTAGAAACTCCAAAAGAAATGCAACAATTAGATAAAAAGGAAAAAATCATACTGCTATCAATTCCAAGCCAATGAAAAAAATTCGGATCTAGACACCCCACCCCCAAAATAAAAAGGGATGCAGTCTCCCGATGGATGGCAGTGAGTATCTTCATGCAAATGCTACAGCAAGCAATGGAGTTCAGATGGAGAAACATACGTGAGCTTGACATTTCTCCACCACACGGTGCTTCGGAAACGGCGAGCCTGCTTCCTGAAGCGGAAAGTGTTTCCTTGCATATTGGCAGTTTTATCAACTAACAATTCCAAACGATCACCTCTCTCCAAAACTTTATCAATATTCTCGATCATAACATTTCGCACCTGTTAAACAACATGATGTCAGTATAGAATATCCAACTTCTATCTTCAACACAAACCTTAATTTCTTTTACGTTGACTTCCATTTGAAACTGTACAGAAATTAGAAACGACACCACTTTAATGCAGCATAAAATAGGAAGCTTTTCAGAGTAAAGCAGTATCATAAGACAGATTAACAAGGCCAAATCAACAAGCTACCAAGTAACATCAAGAGCGAATTTTAGATGACATTGTTTCGAATCAAGCCAAAGTAGAATTATAAGAACTCAATTCTGCATGGCAGGAGCGTCATTTTTGGAAAACAGTTGTACTAGTAGTTATTCAATGGAATTCTGTCTACGCTTCTTTAAAAATCTTCAAAGGGTACATCATATTTGTATCTTCAATCACAACGAAAGAGTATAATGGTATTTGTATCTTCAATCACAACGAAAGAGTATAATGGTGTGAGAAGAATTATAATGAAACATATTTCTTTATTTTTAATATGACTGTAGCTCAAAAATTCTTTTGTCCATTCCCATAAATTTAATTTTTTCATACTAGCAAGACATAAAAACCAGAAAATTATTGTTAAATTATCAAATCTAACATGAAAGTACCAACAGAAATCATCCATATGCATTTACATTATGAAGTCCATCGCCTCGTTTTATTACACGGAACATATTATCTTTGGAATGTGACATCTTTACATTGAAGAATTTCTATTTGGACCAGTTAAAGTACACTAAAATCTGTAGCTGCATCAGGAGGGCGATTCTACAACTCATTCATACAGTAGCTGCAAAGTCAGAGTATTATCATGTTGAAGCTACAGAGCCATTACTACCTTAAAGCAGGAGGAAATTCATCTCAAATGATATATAAAAGTTCAAATGATATACAAAAGTAGAAGTGCAAAAGAACATCCATTACAACAGAATGCTGGTTAAGTAGTATTATGTCACCAACACTCAAAAGCTGCAAGTGGATGAGAAAAAAGTAAAGATAGCAAGAAGAGAAAGAAGAAGAATAAGACCTGATTAAAGAATAGAGGAAATGTATTAGAATCACAAACATTTGAAACTCACCTGACTCATTTCACCTTTTAGCCGGTTTATCCTGTCTGCATTTGGATCATGTGAATAGTACTCCATCTGCTGGCTAAGAACTCTGGAAAATTCATCATTCATGGCATAAGGTTGAGCAGATAACACAGCTCTGCCATAGGTCCTCACAAATCTCTGATGAATTTCTTCAAGGAAAGCAAAAGGGATCCTCCCTGTAGGAATATCAAGGGTAGGACGTTTTACTTTGCAAATGAACAATTTTCATCAGCTAAGAGCAACCATATGTTTGGTAATTAAAAGAAATTTTTAACATTGCAGGTATAATGCAAATTCCCATAATATTTTGACATTGGACATTAAGAACATTTTGGATCAAATTAATACTCCTAAAAATAATAAACAATTGTACATGTACTCCTCAGTGTGGACAGGCCCAACTAGCAAAACTATGCATGCTAAATATAGCAAAATTAGCAAAAGATGAACTGTTTGTGCAAGCTCGAATTATACCATGTGAACAAGCTCAAAGCCAAGAAAGTTTACATTGCTTCTTTACAAACATCTAAAGAACACGTATTAAGGAAACAGCAGCAAGACAAGCATCCAAGTTTCAAGGAAGCACAAATAACGTCACCAAAACTTGACGTCCAAAAACTACTAGTAAGCAGTCAAATGATGGGAAATTAAAAGAAGAAACCTTTAAGAAGCTCAAGCTAAACGCTTAAGGCCCTATTGAGGAAAAGACACAGAATCTTTACATTATTACATATTTGAGGTCGTATGCAGTAAAAACCCATACCCATAAATGAGACTAGCATTCAAGCTGGCAGCTATCAAGAAATATCCATTTACCTAGCAATTCAATCAAAGGATTCCTAAGTACAGCAAAATATTTACTCCGAAATCAATCGAATCTCTAACATATGTGCCAAAAGATCAGCTTATTTCCTTAGATCACACCATCTTTGTCATTTTGTATTCTGAAGGCTATCAGATATCAATCAAGTTAATGATATGAATCTACCCATGTTCAGGAAACGGAAGATATGGAAAATATCAGCAAGGCAAAAAAGTCGTAATTTTGAGGATGAAAAATCTAAAATCTTTCCCTTTTCCTAGAAGAAGCAAAGATTGATTGAGAAGAAGTGGAGAGGGGAAAGAAGGGCATACGTCCGGCGACGTCGTCGGCCATACAGAGAACGGTGAGGCCATCGGTGCGTTTGACGTGGAAAATATAGCGATCTTGAGAATAGGAAACATTGGTGTCGTTATTGCCGGGGATTTTGTCGAGAATCTGCCTGGCGATGGAGTTGGCATTGGTGGAGGTGGCGCTGAATTCCGCCAACACCACCGATCCCCTCGCCACCAGCGCGTACAGTATCGCCATCCCTTTTACTGGCCACCCACGGACTCCTTTTTCTTTCCCTCTCAACTAGCCCAACCCCAATTGTGCAACTGTAAGCTAATTATATCTAGGGGAAAAAATGGAGGGGGGAAAAAAATCCTCCTTTTCTCTCTCTTATGCTTTAAGGGCCTAAGGTGACTAATTAGTCGAGTGATTGGATCCCATGAATCAGCATGATTGATCGAGTTGAGCTCCCTCTTATTCTTCTATAATATTCAAATTGGAATTGGATAATGATTACTATATGCCACAGGATGTGATTATTTAGTTAATGCTATACGAGAACTAGTAGTAGTTCTCCATGTATTGTCCATGCTCCATACTCCATAGGCGTGCGGCCAACAAGGAAGGATTCATTTGGCGGAGTTGAACTTTCTAAGTTTCAATTTTAGAAGATTTTTCAAGTTTCAACTTTTGGCGATTTGGGAGAAATCATATCCTTGTTCATCCAACATAAGGTAAACTTCTTGTGCTAATGGATTAACAGTTTTTTTTTTTTTTTGGGTGGAAAAAAAGTGTGTTGAATTTGATTCTAATTAATTTATTCCTTTAGAACCAATTTATAAGTAACTTATTAAATTTTAGGAAAAATCGTTTCAAACGTGTCTCAAATTTTACAAAATAATGTTTTAGTCTCTCATTTTTAAAAGGGTAATTTTATGTTCCTTGCAAATTTATAGTATTTATCAAATTTGGTCCCTACCTAAATTTTCGACTAACTTTTGATCGGAATCCACCACACGCCTATAGGTGATCATTTTTTTAGGAACAAAATTGTCAAATCACATTTCACATAATCTGATATATAGTTCCTCATATTTTACAAAATGAAATTTTTGTCCCTCGTTGATCATGTGTACGAATCTTTTTTCTTGTTTTTTGAAAATTTATGTATATGTCTATTTCATTTTATCTGAATAGTAGGAATAACACGTAATATATCTCTATTTAATTTCATCAAAAACAAGTGAATCGTAGTTGTAGGTAAATTCAAACAGATATATATTACATGCTATTCATACGAAAAAATTTATTTTATAAAATGTGAGGGATTATAGATCGAATTATGTGAAATGTAATTTGCTAATTTTGTCCCTAAAAAATGATCACATGCAAAGCGTGCGGTGGATTTCGATAAAAAAAAAATTTATTCAAAAAATTTAGATAGAGATCAAATTTGATTAATGTGAGTTTGTAAATGAGGTAAAATTACACATTTAAAAGTGAGAGACAAAAAATTATTTTATAAATGTGAGAAACGTTTTAAATGATTTTTCCTAAAATTTTTGCTCAACGCTTTCACATTCTCAAGCTGACAGTGAGACTACTCAAATATACGATCTCTATTGAGATTTTGATCTGCCTTTTTCCAGCATAGATGATGCTTCGTCGTTCTTCGCATATCCTTATTCTTATACTATATAAGAATGAGTTAGAACTTGAATTTCAACCGCAAGGGTGGGGTTTTTTTGGAAATGTGAGAGTGTTTGGAGTGCAATTAGAGTATTGAATATGAGTCATTATAACTAATTTAGTTTTGTTGTAATTACTTGAATGTCCTTTTAAACATTTAAAGCTAGGGGTAAGTTTGATATGTGTCAGTGTTTGATATCCGATTAAACATTAGGTGCAACTGAATTCAGCTTGTGTTTTAGTGAAATTACATGAAAGCCCTTCTAATCATTTAATTGTATTAACATTTAAGTCTTTTAATTTCTTAAAGCCTTTCTCATCAGTTATTTGCAAAGTTATGATATATAGATGTTAAGACACAATTAATGTCAATTAGTAGAGAAGTCTGGTTTCTCGACCGTTACCATAGTAACCCCCATCTATTCAAATTCAGTTCATTTACTTATAGATTTTGTTCCAGCACAATCATACAGTATATTGAATTCGGATGTTGCTACATTAGCTACTCCTCTTCTCCATTTTGCAACATCTTTTTCAATAGGTATGTTTTTTTAACCAATCTACTTTTTGGTTGTAAAAAATCTGTAATATTGCAAGTTGTATGTGCAATAATTTTTTAGTGTTTTAATTCAATTGTCCATGTTAGACAAGCTTGATACGTAAGAGATCACATTTGTTAATTGTTATTTATGGTTTAAAATAAGTTTATCATCATAAATTTTCTCATTTATAGATTGCATCTACTTCTTTTGTTGTTTTAACTATTAGTTAGGATAATTTCAAATCGTTTGCTACTTTATTGACTATTTCATTTAGACAATTTTTCACTTCATCTGATTTGCCAATATGTTTATCTATCTACTTAAAACTATTTGGCTAATAATCTAAAGTATGTACCTCATTACTTTTAATTGTTTTCTTGAATTGAGTGGATTAGAATGCTTTAGTACTTTTTTGAGGTAATTATTCCTTTAAATTAGCATATTAGTTGTTGTATATCTTTGCAACTAATACAAAACTGATATTTCATGATTATAACCCCTATCGAGAAGGAGATGCTTTGCTATATGTCCTAAATCATACAATAAATTATAATTAATTGCTTGCTCAATGTGAAGGCCTCGTGATGATATATGTCCTTGGAATCAATATAAATTCAAGAATTTGGCTTGCAAGAACCGAAATTCCTCTAGCAATGATTTCTTCAAGTATGCTAATTGTTCAAATCTCACTCATATGACAAGATAATGTGGTGAATTGCCCTCATATCAAGATCAAATTCAAACTAAATAACAATTTTTAATAATCTCTAAAATTCTAGGTTAGATGCAAAGTAGTTGATCGTATCTTATAATTTTGTTTTATTGCATATTATATTTTTTGACTCAATATATAACTTATGATTTTTTTAAATTTAATATCATATAATAAAATTGTCATACTTCAATTCTTATACTAAAAAATGTCAAATAATAATTATTAACCATCTTTAATTATAGGCACTAACGCGTGGGCTTTTCCCCCTAGTTTTACACATGTTTTCGACTAGGATTTCGATTTCCTTTCCGTGCCATGTGGCCCATTGTACCTTATTTTTTTTCACCTAACAAGCCAGTCAAGCGTTAAGATTCTTAAGAAGGATGATTGTTTGACCATATGATTTGCCAAAATTCGTAAACAGTTCCTCAAAACTATATGTATAGAAATTGCCCAGTAAATGAATATGAATTAAAAGTTACATAATCTGGAGGGGTTTAACGAGCAGCTGCAAATCACAAAGTGCAAGTTGAGGGATGATCCAGAGAGCTAAGAGTGATATCGACAGAACAATTCTCTATTTTCGAAGAGGATAAACAAATCAAGCAGTTTCCAGGATCTGCGTGCCCGGTTGCGGTGATATGATAGATTGAGTACTGCTGGGAAGTAAATCAATTCTAAAAATAATGGACCTGTTGCTGTTCCTTCAATTATTGAAAATCTCAGACCAAGACCAGGACAAAGTACAGGACAAGAAAACATTAAAAAGAGCTCCCATCTCTTCTGGAATTGCTTTGCAATTTGCATGGTACACAGCTCACAAGCTGACCTCCCCTTCCCCCACTCCTCATTTCCTCGAACAAATGCATCAATTTGACTGACTATGAGAGCTAGCAATAATAGCAGTAGTGTAATTTACTGGCTACAATCTTAAATTGGCATCCAAGATTTCCAGGAAGGCCTGAATATATTGATGGATTTTAATTCAGCTATTACATATAGAAAATGACAACTTCCAGGAGCGAAGGATTGTGATATCCTTGGAGCTGTCCCAAGGATTTCAGACACCCAATGCAGGAGGGCTTTGAGCAAGAATCTGGATAACATCAGATTGTAATGGCATTTTAGCCACAACACTCGAGTTTGGGATCATTTCATGTGCACAATGTACACGGTGTTTGTCCTAACGTTAAAAGGCTGGGACCATGGTTTTCCAATCCTTCCTTTCCTGGTTAATGTGAATTATTCCCAAGAAATTAATAAGCAAGCAACTTTTGCAGAAACATACAAAAATTTCCAACTGTTACAAATAATATCATCTGTCTGCAGCACTCTCTTCCACTCAATCAAACTGCTCGTTGCCTACCTCACAGCTTCCTGCTTCCCTTTATAAAGAGTATCATTCCTTCCAATAGGGCACCATACCTAAAGCTTGTTTAGCTAGGCAATAGGCATGGCTGCCCAGAAGCTTTCAGCAACCGTTCTAATCTTCTCCCTTCTTTTTCTAGCAGCATTTAGCAGTGCTTGCGGTCCTTGTGAGCCTAAGCCTAAACCAAAGCCTACTCCCAAGGCACCTCCAGCGAATCCCTTCTGCCCGAGAGATACCCTGAAGCTCGGTGCTTGCGCTGACGTACTTGGATTGGTCAACGTCGTTGTTGGAACTCCACCATACAGCAAGTGTTGTTCGGTGCTTGAAGGCCTGGCTGACTTGGAAGTTGCAGTTTGCCTTTGCACTGTCATAAAGGCCAATGTGCTTGGGATCAACTTGACCGTGCCTGTTGCGCTTAGTGCGCTGGTCAGTGCCTGTGGCAGAACCATTCCTCCAGGGTTTCAGTGCGGATAGATCATAGATGGTTCAGGTTCACACGTCTAATTGCTTGCTGTGTTGGTTTGATGAATCAACAACTACTGTCGGCTTGCTTTTTTTGCTGTTTTTTTTCCTTAATTTGGTTCATTTCTGTTTGATTTGATGTATAAGCTTGTCCTGATAAACGGGCAAATTTGCATGTATTGTGTAATTTCCTCCGTTATTGTTCAGCAGTTTCTGAATTCTGAACTGAAGTTGGAATGTCTTCATTAAATCTCGACCAAAATGCTTACTGCAGCCTTCCCAAAAGTCATCCTGTTAGGAAGACGATTTGTTTAAACCTTTGGCCCTTCATCTGATGACCTTCGTTCCCGGATTAAGACACTTTGAGTTTATGAAACTTGCTGCCAGGCATCCAGAAAGAAAGCAAATTCAATTTCTTTCAAATCATGAATGCAGCCACTGACAAAGACAGGCATCAAGAGCGTAGGAGGTGAAAAAAGAATCACCCTAGAATTTACCATCTTAAGTTGGTTGCTAAGTTAGAACTTCAAGAAACTAGAAACGAGACAAACTGAAATGCTGGAATTTTCGAGCAGGCCAAGTCCCAATATTTCTAGAAGATCACCACGCGCAATGTATACTACACAACATAGAAAAAATCCATAAAGATGTAAGCATGAGCGGTGAAATCTCTGAGTAATATGAACTACAACAAAGCAAGAAGTTCTGAACTTGAAACTGGACAGAAGGAAGCTAAATGCATTGCTCTGTCATCAGACAAAGTTGTCTATACATGATGCAACTTTCACTATAATGCCATGTTTACATAAGGTGTTAACCATAACATGAGTATGCTGCAGCTAGTGGCTCTTTCACAAAAAATTCACCTCACACATGGATTCCAAAAAATAAAAGAAAAGCAAAAAAAAAAAAAAGAAGACAGAATTGCTCCAAGTTTTTTCTAGCAATGTACTATATACTTTTGCCAAATAATTAACGAAGTTATGTACACATTCATGATCACATGCATGCATATATTCCTTAATTACTTTGGAGAAACAGCTAGTCCCCACCCAAACTTTGCTTTCATAGCTTTATTCCCATGAAATGAAAGTACCTTTCCAATATTCCAAACTTAGCTCAATGTGTTATACCACAACCTGCACACAACACTTGGCCTTTTTATCTCCATTTGCACTAACTACTTACCTTCTCCGCTCGAATGTGCATAAACTTACGCAAATATGCATGTAAAAGAAGACAGTTAAATTAGATAAATACAACTGTTATAAATTTCTCGTTTATTGCTTTTTCTTTTGTCTATATAAACTCATGACTCTACCAAATTAGCTTCTTAAGGAGTAAGTAATTAGTAACGAGTCACTGCTATGGTGCCTTGTGGGTTAAAGCTATGGTGCCTCACCACTAGTCACGAGTCACTGCTATGATGTATTTGAATGGTAAATTGTTTACCATTCAAATACATCAAATTTTCGGTACTATACGTTTTCAAATTTTTGGCATACAAATACATGAAAATGTTGCATTGTATATATGTCACGAATTTGATGATTCTTGTATACGACTTTTACAAAGAGTACAATAATGCAATATAATTGCACATCAAGTAATATAAAAGGTATACGTCCCTCCAAGGTAGTCGACTTGGTGGTGTAGTCCCTAGTTAGGGCATCCACCCGAGTTTGACCCTTATAACAAAAATGGGAAATAATCCAACAACCCAAATAAGGGTTGGGGCCTGAAGTGGGATCAGATCCTTTTTTTTTACAAAAAAAAAAGTAATATAAAAAGTATACCAATCGAATTGAATCGCATGAACTCAACTGCACAATAGTCCTTTTCCACAAACATGGCACAGCTTCAGGTTTGTATCTGTAGCTAAGGAAAATGCCAAAGATGGTAACAAAGAAAAAGAGAAGCAGGTGAAGACACCGCCGATTAGGGATCGGCCACTGGGCCTTTGGCCCGATGGTCATCACTAACTCGGTGGTGTGGAAGGTCAGGGGTTTACAATATGTCAAAATTTGTCATAGTATGTGGTGGCCTTAGCTGGCCTTTTTCGATGGAGTCTGTACTCACATCGAGTTTCCCTTCTCCTCTTTTCTAGATTAGGCTAAATTAGATTATAAGAATTCTATCGTTGCGATAAAAAAAAAGATTAGGGATCGAGATGTACCACGAGCGATTTATTGGTGCCCATCCCACCTTTCTTTTCCCACTTAATAATAACGGGGAGGTGCATTATTTGTTAAAATTTAGTTGTCAAAAGACTTGTATAGTGTATTATTTGTTAAATTTTATTTATTTATATGATCAACACATTTTTTTTGTCCATAATAAAAAGTGTAAGGCGGTGGTTAATCATTTAATCTTGTCCCTTTGTGGAATTAGGTGCCATGGTAAAACTGTTAAAACCTTTACTGCAATTTTCACGCGAAAATGTATCTTGGCATATGATCCATGCGAAAATGTTGTGATGGACACCTATTTCGATCGAGTTAGTAAAAATTAAATTAAAAAAAAAACATAATTATTAAAAGAAAAAAATTCCGCATCAAACCACCGAGGAGGAAGACCGCATGTCACTCTTCCCCCAAGTCTTGTCCCTTTTCGTCTTCTTCTTCGATCTTCCCATCCCCCACCGGTATAATTACAAAATTTGTACAATTCTGTAGAGAGAGAATCGAATTGAAATAGTAGTAGAAGCGTATTAGAATCGGAAGTAAAGGAAGGACGGAAGGAGTGAGTAGTAGCAGTAGTAGGTAGAAGTTAAAAGAGGGGAGGAGGATGCAGCAGCGGAAGAGTCCGCCGAAGCATCGGCACGATGGCACTTCTCCTCTTCCTTTGGGAATGGATTGGAGCCCTCCCCCTAAAAAATGGGTATCTCTTTATCCTTTTTAATTCCCAATTTCCACCTTTTCTGATTCTCAATTTCAATTTTGATCCTCAATCTTTACCCAAATTCTCAGTTGTACCGTTTGATCGCGTCTCGATTTCTCCGTCTATTTATTGGGTTTTCAACTTGCATGTCAATTGATCTACAACAGTTCATTATCTGCTTTCTTAATCATTTTTTAGATAATTTAGCTTATCCAATTCAATATTAGAGCTGAAGATCAGCTTAAAGCCCTAATATTTCTGGGGATTCTGTAGTTAGCGGAAGGTATGTTCTGCTATTGGCTGACTATGATCCTGATTGAATTTTGTTATTTTTAGATTCTGTTACTCTAGGGACGTATAAAGGGGGGAAAAAAAAAAGAAAAAGGAGGACTTTTTAAGCTAGTTGTTATGTTTAGCTACGGGGCTTTTGCATTTGTTCATGTGAGGTTCTACTACATCTAATCCTGCTGTTTCAAAGAGTCCAGTAGCTGTGAGGGCTGAATCTTCTCAATTGTAAGGGCTGCATTTTTACCATGCCCTTGTCGTTTTGTTTTGCAGATTTTGTGCCAATTTACATTATAAAAACCTTATAAGCTAACTTGTATATATATGTGAGTATTTTCCATGACTTGATTGAGCTTCTTTAGGAATCTTACCATAAATACTTAAAATGTTTCCAATTAAAAGTTTCCCCCGTTGTTGTGTGATGTGGTAAAATATGCTTGAAATGGGAAACAAAAATTTTATCTTTGATCTGATCATTTACTGCTATTGTACCACTCTCTTGCTCTGCTTGCTATTCTTGCTCTTGATGACGGACCTTTTTGTTATGATTTTTGTTTACAGGATCATATTTGTTTGATTGAGTTCATTTGTATCTTCTAATTCCTTTATTCTATTTACTCTTGAGTTGGCATCTTATAATCTTCTCCTTGCATCTTCATTGTATTCCCTGCAGGCTGGGCGTGAAACTGTTTGGCCTCATGATCCTCACACGGGTTGGAGTTACTGTGTTACCATTCCTTCCTGGGTTGTACGTCCAAAATCAAGAGATTCAGATCCCATAGTGGTATTCAAACTGCTTATCTATGCCAAGTGTTTGATTTTCATTTCATGTTATCTTCTTGAAGATACTTTCAACATTCCAAAAGAGCTTCTTCTTCCATTTTGTGTTGTCCCATAACTAAAAATGCTCTCCTAAGTTCGTGTATTATCATTAGCATAACATGAATAGTTGTATGTGCTATTAAATTTGAAGTCTTCTAAAATGTTTATCTTTGGATGATGTCTGTCTCTCCCTATTTTTATTATGCATAAATCCACTTCAGTAACCTCAAGAAAAGGATGGTCAAACACTTTTTTATAATGCTAAACTAGATGAATCTTTAGGTTATTAGCACGGGGTCAGTAGAGTATTATTTACTTTGATATGTTGTAATTATCTTTTTTGGAAAACATTAGGTTATACTCCAATCTGTTAATAGCTAACGTACTTACTTCCTCCATCCCATTGATAATATCATGCTTCCTTTTTGGTTTGTCCCAAAATTAATATCACATACTAAATTTGGCAAACAATTTTTCCCACCATTCCTCTCTCCGCCCTTGCATTCAATTTTCACCTTAAGTCATCATTGTGGGCCTTGCAGTTATCATTCAAATGATTACCGGTTGCAAACGCATGTGTGGTTGACACTTATGTTTATTTGGTTGGAGCGTGAAAAGCATGCACTAGGCATTTGGGAAACGTAACAAACTACTGTACGCCCATGTTTGCTTTTCATCGCCTGATTTCACTGAAAATTCTAAAAGCCAGTATCAAACAAGGGTAGAATCGGTAAACAAAGCACAATTCATCCATTCAGCTACACTATTCTTAAAAAAAGCACAAGTCCTGAAAAGTGACAAACTTCTCGGGATGGAGGGAGTAATATTTTGGTTTAGACTAGAAGAATGGATTTAATTAACTCAGTTTTCGTTAATCTAAATATTACTGGTCAACTTTTTTTTTCAACACTTAAGTAAGATTGGAGATATGGGCTGCTATTCCCTTTCTGATTTAGGCTTGTTTGATGATACATATCCTTTGCCCTCATTTAACTTCGAACAGACTACTTTGTCTTACTGTGTGCTGTTATAAAAGCAAGATAGATGAGATAAGCAATCCAACTAAAGTAGTCATAAACTCGATATCTGGTGTTCAGAGATCAGTGAAGAAAACCGACTAGGAGATGGCATTATTTGTTGATGTTTCTTTTTTTTTTTTTCCTTCTGTTGTTTTAAAAGTCTTTTGTTGCACTCTTATTGCACCAAGATTCTTAAAACAAAGTCTTGCATATTATTACTTACACTGTGATTTCTAGGCTTCTA